AAACTAGTTTCAGTCTTCAATAATAACGTGAGTTGTATGTACGAGAACACAAATTGTATTGTCGTTGTTGTCATGAATGATGATTATTGAATTGAAATTGATCGTCACTTGTTGTTTTAGGTGTGAATGTGTCCTAGTAACGACTATTGAATTGCCTTTACCAGTGCAAAACAAATCCAGTGACTCTTTCATTTATAAAGATGTGTGTTGAACGTTAGAAATGTAATTCATTTAAGTCATTGGATCCCAAAGACGTCTTAGACGACTTTTTCACTCAGGGTGCTATATTGACCTCTGGTGGACCTTTTGATATAGAAATCAGCCGTTTAGGTGCCAGATTGGGTGTAATGATTATTTGGGTGTAATGATTATTTGGGTGTAATGATTATTTGACACCTCTAGAGTGCAGAATTGGGGTGTCATAAGGCAACAGAAGAGAGAGGAGGGGGTGGTACAGTGGATCTAAGTAATAATGGAATAACAAACCATTCCGACAGCCTGTCGACATCCACCGTTCGCCAAGTCCTATCGTCAGTGCTGTCACCGTTCAATTCCTGCCCGTCCTCATCTTCTGACAGCGCATCTGGCTCGAACATGTGTGGGGTCAGGTGCAGGAATTCTTCAATTGTATCCTGGGTGTCATCTGTTGACACACGCTCGCTTGACGAAGAACTGTCGCTGTCCCTATCCGAGTCGCTTCCACTGTCTGCGCAATCCGCCATTGTTTTCCGTTTCTACCTCAGTGACGTCACACGTCCTGTTTCGCGATGTTCTGCGGGTATGAAATCTAAATCGCCACTACGCGCTTATTTCATAATATTTTTCAATGATTCTTCGTCAGTATTATAGATTATGATATATATTATTGGTGAACGCAGTTATAAAGTGGTATCAATTTAATAGAAATGAACCTTGCACAACATCTTTAATATCTTCTAGTCTGAATCCACTTCAGCTGCATCACTGAAAGTCCATGACTTTGTATGTATGCTCTATATATACAGCCTATGGCTATGCCTCATTGTTGTGGTGGAGGTTGCAGACTGAGCTCAGACACATGTGCTGCATCAGACAACATATAGTGACTTTGGACGGATGAGTCCGGATCAGACCGGTCACAATGTATTTGTGTGTAAAGGCTGAAGACTCATGGGAGAGTTATCGGGATTTTACGTCCTGTCAAAGCAGGCTATAAAGTGCATGACATTTGTACAGCTCTTGATCCGTCTTTCTATGGCACTTGAAAATGGTGACAGCAGCAACTGTTGACAGCAGAGCAGCTCCCCGGGACTCATCTCCAGATTTATTATGATTCAATGTGTTTTTCAGTCGATAAGACATCTGAGAGTCCTGCTGCCGTTGCTGATAACAGATATTTGATAAAGTTATAAGCAAGTCCTACAAGTTGTATTTTAAGATAGCAATTTGGTCTCAAGTGTTCATACACACATGTCCAGACATCTATGAACACCTGTTATAACATTTGTTTCCCATTAGCAGATGATGTGATGTGATGTGCTGTCAGGGTGGGCTTATATACAGCAGTGTGCAGTCAGCTGCCATCTTCCTGTGGACCCACCTCCGGACTTCAGGCAAAGTGGGGTTAAGTGTCTTGCCCTAGGACACAACGACAGCATACATCAGTGTGAGCACATGGGGGATCAATCCACATCCATTAGATTCCAAGACCAATGCTCTACCAACTGAGTCATTGTGGCCCCTGAGACAATCAATAAAATTTGAATGAATGATGAATAAGGAAACATTTCTCTCACTCATTGTCATATTTTCGTCTATGCTTGACGTTATTAGACATTAGACAACAGTTTAATGTCTAACCCGCAGTAGAATAAGCACTGAGTACATACTTGTTAGCATTGGTTTAGGTGGGGCCTACCACAGTAGTCTTAAAATTTAAATTGTTATTGATTTTAGGGTTAGCAAACACTAGCCTTAAGGAATTTTAACATCAGACTTGTTTGGCTGTAGTTGAATTTCTTGTCTTTAAATTAAAGTGTCAACTTGGGAAAATACCATGATGTAGCATACTATATCAGTGTTGTATTTGTTCACATTACTGTAAGTGCTGTCAAATCAATACTGGACAAATATATTATGGGTTCAGCTGGAGACCTAAAACAAATGTGGAAAGACATCCCACTATAACAATAAACATATCTGAACCACTTAGTGCTCTCCAAGGACCAATCCACAAGTTATAAGTCTTTTTCCAAACATTAGTATTTTAGCCTCATCACGTCCTTGAAGGGAAAACGCCAAAACAGCCCATTGTAACTATATATTAGTTGTCTGGTCCTCTGCTAGGCATTAAATACAGTTTTTTTTTTCCTATTTTATACTTTTTAATGTTGTTTTTATTTGACTTTAGTGGTTATATTGTGTTAGGACGAGTTAATTATGCACATACATGTCGATTACTGACTGTATTTTAGGATATTGGTGCATGTGAGTACAACCTTAAATGCCAAAGAATGTAACTTCACATTTAAAATCAATACGGGGTTGGCTCAATCTGCATCATTCACACAACCCTGCGATGCTATTACCAGGTGAGAACCAGAACTGTGCTTAACTGGACACAAGACTGAATGAAAGTCAAATGGAAGAGCTGGAGATTAAGCCTTCTGAATAAGCCATAGGTGAAGGCACTAACAATAAACTTCCCTCCTTACCTGAGCTGTTTGACTCGGGTTAAACACAGGAAGTTTGTTTGGACCATGAACCTGTGAACCACTGCTCTACATGTCCATCCACTCTCGAATGCCAGTCAGATTTGGACAATATACAGTTTGACCTAAAACCACTTTTAGCTGAGTTGTTGCCATGGTGATGAAAGTGACAGACGCATGTGCGCATGTGATAATCTTGGAAATTACTTCCTAAGGGCCCTTTCACACCACGACTTGTCGAAGTGCGAGGGAAAGTCCTGCTGTGCTGATGTTTCCAGTGATGTATCAGAACCTCAATGCAAAAGAATAAAGGCATATTTATTTCACTGTCATTTTGCATTCATGTTTGAATTAGAAATGCTTAGAAAACATATTGATTTTAAGTGCCAAAATTACACTTCTTATTTATTCACAGTTTCTTTACTGTTATCAGTCAGAGGAATAGCCCCTTGAGATGAACTTTGTTTTCGAGTGGGTCCTCAGTTCAAATAAAAAAATAAAAAAAAAAACAAGCTAGACAGCAGAGCAGAATAACAAAAAGTTAGACAAAGACAAAAAACGAAGAAGAAATAGAAAAATTAAAATAGTAAATACATAAATAATAAAAAATAAAAAAAAACTTCTACACAGGACTAAAATACTAACAATGTCAGGAGGCTAAAACATGCATTGTTTATAGTTCAAATGGAATATGTAAACCTTTCATTTATAACATAGTGAGCTTATAATTTATTTGTCTAATTGTGTAGAAGTGATTTTAGAACCATGTAAATCTGAGAGTAATTAGTTTCTGGTCACTTCAGGACTGAAAGTTTCTTCACACGAGGCTGCTTGAATTTCAGAAGATTAAGATATTCAGTATATGAATAAATAACAAAATACTCATGCATAGGCTATATTCCATGCCCTATGTAAAGTCATAAAAATGTAAATGGCATTTTGCAAATAGGGGACAACACAGCAATAATAAGTTGCAAAAATATGAATTCTGCAGTGCGTTTGATTTGTGCTTTTTCAGCTAAATGCAAATTAGTTTGAGCAAGAATCATGTTTAGTCAATGGTTTGTTTTCCTGAAATTAGGTATTCCTGGTTTCATATCACAGTTCATTATGTGGCAAGTTTGCTGTGACTGAATATTCAAAAGGCTTTGTCTTGTCACATATGACCAGACTGTTGACCTGTGTCTCACTCTGCCATAGCGTAATTATGTGGAACTTCACTCAGTGTTTAGTGACGGTCTACTCTTGTCAATTTAGATAATTGCTTTGTAGAAAGTAAGTGTATTCATCAGACACATCACTGTTTTCAACTTTTAACCATGTCACGGCATTGTTCTCTCATTAACCACAGAACTGGATTGGTCTTTGTTGTTGCTTCATCCACTTACATTTCAGTCCAGACTTCCATCCCCACCCCACCCCCTCACGAAATACTCCTTGCTGAATCTCAATTCCCACTGACATTGGTCTACTGTAAGTTGGTGTTTCATAACTGTTGCCAATATTTTATGAAATTAACAAAAAGAGGCAACGTCTTAAAATCAACAATCCAATATTTGTCTATTGGTGTCTTTGAATTAAAGGCAACGGTGTGTGTCACAACAAAAAAACATGAAAGTAGTATATATTCCAATAATAAGCAATACTACATGTTTTACATCATTCGGCTAGCAGAGGTTGGGGTTTGCTTGTTTCTCCTCGTGTCTGGAAGGGTTTTCTCTGGGTGAATAAAGTGGTAAATGCAGAGGACAGATTTCCCCATGGGGACAGTAAAGTATACCTCAACCTAAACCTTTTCATAACAAGTCAGTTCAGTGTAATTTATAGGACTTTCAAGGACAAGACTAACCATGGCAACACCCTTCAAAGGCAAAATATGCTTTGAAAATGGTATCCAGACACAACATTGTGCAAACATTTAAAAAAGATATCTTGCAAATGAACTCTCCCCATGTGTCTTGTGTAATTTGATGTGGAGGTAGAAAAGTGCATGTTTTTACCAGAACCACAGCTCAATATTCTGCTGCTGTGTTGATTATCATCACTTGATTTACTCTGTTCCCACCCTTGTAATTCCAACAAATAACATTGCCTTGCTAATCTTGATACATTTTAGGCAGCAACAATTTAGAATTCACCGCTGCGTCACATCAATATTTATTACACAAGCGCCAAAAGCCAATAAGCCAATTGTCTGGCAAATGCAGCGTTTACCTCGGCTGAGTTGTGCTTGTGCCGATCTATAAACAAAAAGTGAGATCGATCCCTCGGAGAAGACATCCACAACCCATGAGTGGGGATTAGGTCAACATGAAAATAAACGACAAAACCTACAGCATCATGACAGTATTTCTAGATGATTGCAATTCAGGGAGAAAACATTTTATTTTAACAAGCATAGACTGTTGGGATTTCAGAATATATTTCAAAACCAAGTTTTGAACATGGTTGAAAATCTGTTAAGCTGTGTGTACGGCTGATTCATCTCTTTTTAAACCCTCATTTTAATAAGAATAAGCTGCTCTGTTTTTACATGAAATTATTTTATACTGATGTATCTTATTGCCTTTTGTTTTTTGTGTGCATTTTGATCATTGTTTAAATAGCTCTTGTGAAGCGCTTTGAATTGCCTTCTACACGATGATGATCGATGATTGATTGTTGATTATACTTTTATTAGTGCCACACACAAAAAGCTATAGTAAGCATTACTATTATTATAATAGTACTTTCAGCATCAGGGCATTTTTTGATTTGTTTTCTTTTTTTCCTGATATGATCAGATCTACCTTCATACCCCGCGACTGATCAAGTCTTTAACACAAATCTGTCTTCTGGTGGTTTCAGGAGAGCGTGGACTTGGGAGAGATCATGTTTTCTCTGTGTTACCTGCCGACAGCCGGGCGACTCACTCTGACCGTCATCAAGTGCAGAAACTTGAAGGCCATGGACATTACCGGATACTCAGGTGTGCAACATAAACACGGCACCTTCGCTGACTTCACTGAATTAGAATGTTTGCAAATTCAGGCCGTGAGCATGTCAAACCTGCACAAATCCCCTCTCGCTGTTGCGTTATGTTTATTCCAGCAGATCATTAAGATTCAACACACGCCGTATTAATGCCGTGTCAGCAAATACTACACCTGCTGATTTAATAGGCTGCTGCTCCGCTCTTGTGTTTGTGCTGTAGCCGTTCCACTCGCACGAGAACAGGAGACAGGTTCAAGATATTCTGAGAGAAAGTTTACACACAGCTGGAGATGTCAGTCTTCAACATGTTTGGGGGATTAAGGATAACACACAAACTCTTTTTCTCCACTCATCATATTATATCGATGGAAATAAGTGTTTTTCAATCTTAATTTGAGTACCGGTACTTGAGTTTCTAAAACAAGATTTGCCAATGAAACAAGCCATTTAGTCTTATTTCAAGAACTGTGGCTTTATTTTCTCATTCCAGAGCGAGACTATTCTTGTTTCTTTTTAAAACAAAACTAACTTTGTTTGTCCCATTGGCAAATCTTGTTTTAAGGCAGTCAAAATATGTTCAAATTAATACGTTTTGCCAAATTTGATAAATTTTTAATCAACTCATTTTTCCTCCCCTTTTGCAATGCATATTGTCAACGCGATCTCAAATGTTCAGGCAAAGCAAACCAGGAGTTTACAAGAACGGGATACTTGTTGCCCAGAAGAATGGGCAGCTTTACAATCAGAAAGCATATTGAGAAATTATAAAACAAACAAAAACACAAAACAGCTTCACACAACCACTATAAATGTATGGAAAGCGTGTTTGTGTTACCACATTCATAATCTCCAAAATACGGCCAACATAGTAATAATTCTTCCTGGTTGTCTACATTTTTGTATCTTTAAAATCTACTTAATAATTTCAAATCTGAAGCGCATGTGAAGTCGGGGTGGCTGTTTCTCCGGATGAGACATACCGTTTTTATTGTGTGTACAATAATTGTGTCCATTTAGCATGAATGCAGCGACAGTGAACGTCCAGAAAACATCCAATGTAAATTCAAATATAAATGTAATAGAATCTTTTCCAATGTTGAGTTTTTATGAGCAATGCTTGAATTGAGAACACAAAACAAATATAACAAAAACAAGCCTCAGGGGCAGTTCTCACACCATTCCAACTCTAAACGCTGTAATTTGGCAGTGTTTTAGCAGTCCCGTGGATTGTTTCAGACCAAAAACACAGGAAAGAGCCTCATTTGAAAAACACTGTGTAAGTCCTGTCTGACTATAGTCTGGGATTCACTGGTGTTGCTTATCACAGATTGGGGGCAGAGGCTTAGGTTGGACTAAAACACCACGCAATTAATCGCACAATCCTCCGCTGATGGAGCCAGATTGAAATCATCCCCTCATCAGGGAGCCACATCTTCTGTTGTTTGTCAGACTAACTATGGCCCCCTGTTAAGTTTGTTTACACCCCTCTACTTTAGCCGACTTTATATCCTCAGGGGCTGCACTAAAACAGACATAAAACAACGTGTTCCTTTTTAGAATAACAAGAGCTTTTTGAGGACAGACATAAAAAGTTGATATTGACGACATTTGTAGCTTCCGTCCAGATGTTGCTGATGATGTGTTCTGAGAGAATGCCAATGTAAGAACTCCGACTGAGAGTGCTCCAATTGATTATAAATATCCAAAAAAGTATACTGGTTTATCAAAGAATTGAAATAATGATACACAGGTATGTTTTATGATCAGCCCAGCTTTACAAAGTTGTCGATTTGCCAACACAGATCAGAGAATCAACAGTTTGAACACAAGAAATGCAATAATGACAAACATAGGAGCCATTTGTCAATTGGGGGTAACTGGCCGATGGTCATACATTATAACAAATGTCTAAATTTCCGGGGTTATCATGTCCTGCATTGGCAAGGAACTCAAAAACCCTGTGGGAAAAAGTGAGTGTCTTGCCTAAGGACACAGACAGTTTGGCAGTTCACAGTCCTCCCACTGTGACACCTAGTCTCCCTTCACAGTACTAACCGGCCCTGTCCTGCTTAGCTTCTTAAGTCTAACATGATCTGGCTTTAACATCAGGGTGGCACCGTAATTGACAGGATGAGTGGGATTTATTAGACGTGGGGGAAAAAAAGTTTGTGGAAGCTAGATTTTAATTTCAGGTAAATTTTTACATTGAAATTAATGGAAAAAATAAAATAAAATTTCACTGGATTTGAACTGTATCTCTGTTGCGGCAAAGTACTTATTTTGAAGCAGCGATTGATTTGATTGGCGTGTTCCTCTGCGTGTTTAGATCCGTACGTCAAAGTGTCGCTCATCTGTGACGGGCGGCGCTTGAAAAAGAAGAAGACGAGCATCAAGAAGAACACGCTGAACCCGACGTACAACGAAGCCATAATCTTTGACATCCCCCCGGACAGCATGGACCACGTCAGCCTCCACATCTCTGTCATGGACTACGACCTGTGAGTGCAATAACTGATCTTTACCTTCACCTAAACCGATTAAATCAAAGAAATGACGTGTGAGGGTCCCATAATGTCCCTTGCAACCTAAAGCTAACGCACTCCGACACGTTGACCCCATTTGGAAGCATTTGATGAATTGTCTTGATCTCATCTTTGTCATAATATCTTTACTCAATGACTGGAATTTTATTTAAAACATAGAATACACGCATAATACATATCAGGATCGGATACAGCTTACAAAACCAACCGCAGATGTGTATTTGTTCTTTGGAAGGTGCATTTTATTGTCGATATGGAAATTAAAATGTCTGGCCTTCATTATAAATATTTCAGACACGGTGATCTATTTGTATAAGGAAGAATTGGCCCTATTATAGTAAGTACAGTAAGTCTCTCACTCCACACAGAGATGGGAGCGGGGTATAGACATTTTTGACAGTAGTTTGGACAATTGTATTAAAACTATACCTATATGTCTTACTTTATTAGTCAACAATTTTAAGATAAAAACTAATCAGAAAAAACCAAGCTTAAATCAGGGCTAAATCAAAAATAATGGGAAAAAACAGGCTACTTTTTTTTTAGGTTGAAGAGTTATGTTAAATCAAAAGTCAATATTGCAATATCAATACTCATGTAGCCCTACCCTCATTCACAGACAGATATATACAGCATATGTGTTTTCTCAGTGTGCTTCTTTAATCCAAGGTTGCTCTGACACCTGTGTATTAATAACACAGGTTTCGCCATAGGTCAAAATCAATCTCTGTGAAAAATGTTCCGTTCGTATGGGCAGCCCCTCGTCATGTGCCTGTCTGTGTGCATTACTCTGATCTCTGGTCTGAGCTGTCGTTTCATCTTCAGCGTATTGTTCTGTCCCCACAGGGTCGGTCACAACGAGATCATCGGCGTCATGAGGCTCGGGTGCCACGCAGAGGGACTTGGCCGCGACCACTGGAACGAGATGCTGGCCTATCCGCGCAAACCCATCGCCCACTGGCACCCCCTGATGGAGTCCAAGAAGTCTGAGAAAGAGGTGGGCTGAAGTTTATCATGGGTTTTTCAGGATTAACTACTCCGTAAAGGGCAGTTAGACGGCCTCAGACCTAGCCTGGCTGTACCACAGCCTCGTACAACTTACATTTCGTTCTAAGGTCTGGGAGGGGTTAACTCCTTTTGCAGATTGAAACGATTGGATCTGAGTTTACCGTGACGTTTGTAATTCACCCGTGTGAGTCGCTAGCATTTAGTATTTTGCCGGGCCATCTCCTTTCCCACAAACGGAGCCCGTGGGGACTAGCGCCACAATCTTTGCCAGCAATTACATTTGCTATACATTCCCCTTTCTCCGGATTCAATTTACTGATAGAACCAGACCGGATTACTTTACTATCGCATTCTTCGCCATTGCCAAACTACAACCTGCCAATTCGGCGCAAACTCTTGACGTCACCCACATCCACCTACAACACCCACCTCCCGCGCTCTCTGATTGGTCGGATGGGATTCTAGTGATGTAATTGCAGAAACTGGGTCTAGGACTAGACCCAAACGGTAAATGCAGGGAAATGATAAATGACTGGAGTTTACAGATAGCTAAGGCCAGGCTACCCCGGACCCGCTGTGATTGGTAATCTTTGAAAATAACTTATCTAAGAACATATACTTTTCCTGGCGCCAGAAATAATGGTGGGGAGGCAGTTGTAAAGACCCAATGCCCAGTATCTCTGCTCTGCTCTGTGGCTTTGAGAGGTGAGAGGAGAGCATGCCTGAAAAAACACTTTTTGAACTACAAGTACAGGTACAATGTGTGCGAGTGCAGATGGCCCCTGGGATTAGGAGAATTTATCAACATTTATGGACATCTGCCCCTATATGGACCAATACTGATGTTTTCTGTTTTATTGTTTGAACTGTTTGATTTTTTGATCTGTGTTGACAAATTCAACAGTTGTGTCCTCCGAGATAACTACTGTTGTGATTTCGGGCTATACAAGAGTAAATTGAATTGAATTGAATAGAATAGGAGGACGCCTTCATCCCTACACACTATTTTATTTGTGTTTTTCCTTCACTGCGAGGGCAAACTGCTCTCTGCATTTAAAGGAGAGAGAACTGTCAAGGCCTGAGTGGTGTCCAACTGTCCTCGGTTATGCATTCAGAAACACATTACATACTTGTAGAAGTTTGAGTCTTTAGCTGGTGAATCTAAGGACGTTGTCACACATTTCTGCACTTCCTGATTCTGCCTTATTGTGAACTCTATTTACTTCACTTTTGTTTCTGTTCTGTTCACACGTTCCACTCGTTATTCAGCCCAAACATCGCACACAGCGGTGGTGTGACCGCACTGCTGTGTGCGAGCGGTGTGAACCAACCGCGCAGAGAACACCTCTTTCAGGCGCTCGTGGAGTGGCTGTTGATTAGCACTGTCAGGTTCACACAGCCACAGGTGACTGCTCTCCAGTCAATGGCTCTGTTTAGCCAACCTTATGAAAGTGACCTCAGATTGCAGGAATTACCTTTTTGCTCCTCTTCAGAATAACAAAGGTTTTGTGTCGAATGAATGTGTGCGAGTTAGAGTGACCTCAAAAACCTGCTGCTGATCTCACTGATTTGATGTCGCTAGTAACATTTAAGTCTGAGTCCATTATTACCTGACTTGATTAGAGGGTTTTAGGTAGCAAGGCTGGAGGCGACAAAGACTTATCATTCCAGGGTTTTTTTTTCTTTTAGCAGGAGAACGTTGATTTGCATCCACTCACTGATCTGTTGGATCCAGTGAAGGGAAGTAATTGAACCCTCTCCCACTTATGCATTTCTGGCAAAACATGCAGGCCTTTTTTTCACACCAACACGCTTCCCCGCTGACTTTGCATGAAAACCTGATGTTCTGCTCTGTTACGAAAAGCCGGCGAGTATTTTCGAACAGTGACTTTTCTCCTCTCTTAACATGATATGTGTTTGACTTGCAGTGGAAGGCGCGCACGGCCAGTTTCGACAGCCAGGGATCGTGCCCCTCGCCTCGCCCTCCGTCCAGCCCCTGAGCCTGTGCACCCGCGGGGGGCTCCACACCTCCTGCCTGTCCCATGAAGAGACTCACACACAGCCCTCGTGTCTCTACCCCTCTGCCCCTCCCACCAAATGAAATGCTGGGACCGCAACCTGTCTGTCCACGGAAGCCTCTTAGAATTCCCAGGATGTGTTGACTTTGATGCTACAGTTTGTTGCGAAATTGAGTCCATGGGAGAGTTTTGCAGTTTTCAGCCGGGCGCGGCTTTGAAGTCAAAGAGTTTGGTTCGTCTTGGAGCATTTTTGGGCGGGCTAACGTTTATTAGTCTGCCGGAAGCAAATACATCGGCCCACTGACAGAGGTGGCTATTGTGGACCAGGACACACTTTGGTCCATTCACAAATAAAACGTATTTAACCCAAAAGACTTCAGTTGGACCAAGTCTGAAAACACCCTGTTGAAAACTTTTTAAGGCTTAGGACATTCAAGAGAACTAAATAATCAGCTCAAGAAATGCAAGGAAGGTGCAAAAATCCGCAGGGGAGTATTTCAAAAGCCTCAAGCTGAACAGAATTTGAAAGAAGAACTCAGCTGGATGCAAGAAGCAAGAGAAAGTACATATGGGTGAGACAAGGACATATCATGTAGAAAACGATCTTCTTTGTTTATAGAGCGGACTGAAAAGCTCTGATTGAATCTAACAGTGCTGTATTGACATAAAATGTTGGTTTAAGTGTAGCATTTTTATTAAGTGTAGAATATCATGTGTTTGTGTTAATGTTACAATTTTTTGCAGCTCTGCGTCAGTTTGAATTTGTAGGAAAGTTTCAAAATATCTTTGTTTTGTTTTTTTCCTAAAACAAAGGAAACCCTTGTTATTCAAAGAGAAAATGAGCTGCAGAATTTTATTTGTCCTTAGCTCGTAGCATTTTTGTCTAAACTATCATAAAATGTGAGATATATGTGATAAGGAAACCGTAGTTCGTACGCTGCAGAAGACAAAAGATATCATTTCAAATGGAGAATACTAATCTTAATTGAGTCATATTTTTTATTTTATAAGATAATATATTGTTTGGGTAGTATACCTTTTGCAGTGATGAGTGTGAAAATGAAATTACTGTTGTTGTTTTTGTCATTGTCCCTGATCCCTCCACAATCTAGCCAGGTCTGGACTGCATGAATTTTATATTTTATTTTTATTTTATTTTATTTTGACAAGTATTCATGCATTTGCTCATGTGAACTACAATATTGATACAATTATTTTTTCTAACCATATTGGCAAAATGTTGTTGTTCGAACTAATGTTTGTAAAAGGGTCCAAAACTGGTATTTTAATAAAGTAAATGGAATGTTAAACTCATTAAATTTACAGAAATTAGGAAAAGAAAAATCAGTCCCAAATTCCAGTCATTTTTAATAATTAAAAAAAATATTTTAATATACGGATAACTCACCAAATGTTCCGATATAATTGTTCCAGTGGATGTATTTCGCATCTCTATCCCCTTAATGAATTCTCAAAGTGCTGCAGGCGATTGGTTTTGATTGGTTCCTATTAATTTTCAGGTATGTATCCTCCATTAGATTTAATTGGCTGATTAATCTAATCCAATTTCACTAAACGCTGCCTCTGTGTGTTCAGTTTAGCTGTTTGAAATGATCATTCTGCAAGAAATAACAAACTGGGAAACACTGTGATGTTACTAAAAAGGTAAAAGAAACAGACAAATGTTTTACATTGATTAGAACACAATGCTTTGTCCATAAAACATGGACTCTTAATGCAATAGAGAACTGACGTATATTTATATATGTTTATGACTCAACTGAAGAAGCAGTGATTATAAGAATTTGAAAACTCTATGACTATGATCATCTAAATAAAATCTGTACATCAAATTGTATTCAGGTGCTAGAGCTGCACAGTTAAATCTATAAAACGATAATAAAAGTTGTACCAGGTCAAAAGACAGAAGTACAGTGTGATTAAAATGGTTTTCAGCTAAATGTGTTAACAAGAGCTAGTAAAAGACCATAAAGAAATATCAAAGTGAAAACGTAAAGTACTAGTATTTGAGGTTTTGTCGTGTCATTGTGGTATCCTCCCTATTCCTTAGCATAAAATTATTATTAAATAACACATTTGTAGTATTACTATGTGAAAATAGTTAGGCTTTACCATTTCCCTTGTTCTGTCTGTGGTCTTTTAATTGCTGTTTTGTTTTTAAGTTAAACTTGTTCCAACATTCAGGAGAGGAAAATGTAAGCCACATAATTTCATATATTACACTTGAATTACTTGTGATAGACGTGCAGTATATTAAATTACATGTCATTTGTGTTCATAAAAGCAGCAGAGGCTGAAATCTAGTTTGTTACTTTCATTTTGGCAGCAACTCCGACACAGCCACATAGTCAACAAAGTCTTGTTGTATTTCATTACATGTGAAATTGTCATTGAAGCCTGTGGGATTGAGCAGACACCAGCATCTGTTTAAGACGTTTGTTGTTCGGCAAGATCAGCCTGTTTCCTTACTGTAACTTAAAGCTGGGGTACTCAACTTTCCCACCACAACAACAGAGCATTTTCTCACATACCAGCACCAAGAACCAGTCTCGAATATCTCACAGTTGGTCACTGGAACCTTCCAGTTCCTCTTAGTTTCGTAACCTTTACAGCTAATTAAACACTTTAAATTAATTACTTATTTTTTTGTATTTACATTCGTGAGTGTTTAAGTCTTTTGTCCCTCGGTAACACAAGTGATCTTTATTATCTATTTTATTAATGCACATAAGATTTTTATGGACTCAGTTCAAACATCACACTATTTTATTAAGAAAGTTTTATGAGCAGATTTAGACTGCTGTGCAATGGAAGTGAATATATCAAAGATTGAATTTGATTTGTTTGAAGTGTTTTGCAAGAAATTAAAAAAAGCTGATTTCACATAAATGTTCCTGTTTATAAAGTACAAGCCACATAGCAGCACTTAAGATGTTTTAAAATGCTTTTCATTCTGTGAAAAGTCCCAAAAATTGGACCAAGAACTACTAAAATCTATAATTACTCGTTCTCAAAACAGGTTCTTTCTATCATAGGTTTTCTCCTCAAACAGAAAAGGGAAAAATCAAATATGCAAAAATGTTTATATTTTCTTATAATATAATCCCGCTTCCATCTCTGTGTGGAGTGGGAGACAAAGGCCCAAATCATTAGTAAAGTGCTATATAAAAAAATACTTACTTACTTTTTCTCTTTACCTCTTTACTTGTCCAGGACTCTTGGGACACACATGTACTATTCATGGGGGGAAAAAGTTGAGTATCCCAGCTTTAATTAAGTTATGGTTGTGGCCATTGCGGTTCTCTATATATGCTGCATTTTTTAGTGCAGGGGTGTCCATATCGTTAACATCAAATGTCACAGGTGGAAACACCAAGAACTGGGTGGATGGGGACCAAGTGAAACCAAATCATTAAGCCTTAAAATATTACCAATGTGTTAATTTAGTGCAGCTTAGACAGAACCACGTTAGCGTAACGGCAACAAGACTCCTGAAAATGTAATTCTGGCTTAAGGTAATGAAGCACTAATGATCATTAGTTTGGCCAATTATCCAAGAGTTGAAAAGCCATGTAAAGACTGCTTTTGGGCCACAGTTTTGACACGCCTGATTTTGTGGATTATTTGCAAATGGAGGCTGTTCTGGCTCGAGCTATGGAAATGAACAACTTAACAGAAGAAATATGTCATATGTTGTGGTGTTTTGGTGGGAGGGCCAGGTCAGCCTCCACACAGCAGTGGCATTTCTCTAATTGGCACTTGGTTGTGAGTCAGTGCATTATTGTCTGTGCTTGACGTAATCCATCATACCGTCGGATCGATCGTTTAAAAATAGCCTCAATTACACTGTGCTTGTTCCCTCCAGACCACCGGAACCCGAGCACAAACACCTCCTATATTACCATAGTGTGGGTGTATATGGCACAATTAAGTCTGTTTAGCTGTTTAATGCATTATTCATTCATTCCCACACATAAGGTATTTACTTCTGAAGCCACAGCTGCCCCCAGGCGGTTTGTGGAAGCCTGGCATTCAGTCCCACATCCCATTCATTCATAAAGTGAATTGCAAGGTGAATTACAAGCTTCACCTTGAATTATTCATTCCCTGAAATTGGCTCCAGCTAGAGGAAGCAAAAACATTTCTTTTTATCTGAACTGGAATTCCAAATAACTTTATAATCACCTACAACTCCTAGCTTCGATTGGCTTCATTTTGCTTCAGACAGACACTGTTTGAGTGGGTTCTGTTGCTTGGCTTTAAAGTTGTATTATGTAACTTTTTCTGTGACAAAGAAACTCTAGTTTATTGCCCTTAGAGTGGAGCATTCCAGATCACCTCTTTGAAAGACGCATCTAATCCCTGGTATTTTCGCTATTCTCTAACACAACCTTTCTACTGAACCATCGATGTGTGCCGTTTTCTATGTAAAAAAAAAGAACTCCTGTTGGATCAGTGGCCTCCTTTTTTGGACCGTCCTCAGACCTTGTAGCTTTGCCCAATATTGTATTGTTTATTGATATGACTGTTTACCTTCCAGCTGTAAGAATAGCACTGAAATGACTATTTTCTATGGGACATTTTGTATTCGTAGTCTGTAGACACTTGAGAAAATGGTCTGGTGATTGGCAGTTTTCCTCTAATGCAATTTAAGTAGCGTATTATGATTAAGATAACTGAGAGAAATAAGCACACAAATGCAGTCGTCTTATTTTAGAATATTGCTTTCCTCCCATGGGATGTGATGTGTGTTTTGTGATATTATTTTTGTTTTTGGATTAAAAGATTTATGCAAAACTGACTTCACTGTTTTACTTCTAACAAGATGAATTGATTTGAGAAGAAAGAAAGGACATTAGGGCTTACAGATGGAAGAAAGAAGCGTGGCAATGAGAGAGTGAATGGATGGTGATGGGTGGAGGCTTCCAAGCGCCAGTGTTCAGCGTCTCACTTCTGTCATCACCGTGTGTGGAGAGAATGGAAATTACTGCTACAACAAAATTGTAAAGTGCTTTGTGTGACTTGATCCGTGAAATTGGCGATATAAATAAAGATGACTTACTTACAATTCTATAGTTTTTCAAGTTGCCCTTTGTGGCTCGGTGTTGCTGTGTCAAAGACAAAAAAGCAAGATTTCATTGGGTCATGTTAGTAGTATTTGACCGCAAGTGCGTGCCAATAAACTTAAAGATGACATAAGATAATAGACCCTTTTTTCCCCCGGAGATTTTTTAAGGATTTTTTACTCTAGACATTAAAGCTAAACTACCTGGTAAAAACATCTAATAATCAATTTTGTTCGTCCCATGTAACGGTCAAATTATGTGAAAAATCATTTCATTTCAATTCTATTTTTTGTAGCCCTAAATCACAACAGTAGTAGTCTCGAAGGACTTTACAAAGTTGTTGATTTACCAACACAGGTCAGAGAATCAAACAGTTCAAACACAAGAAATGCGATCGTAACAAACACATAGTCACTGGTTCATAGGGGGCGGTAATCGTCCATGACCAATGTCCAACCATTTTAATACATTTCCATAACCATCCTTGAACCTCCTGCATCAACAACGAAACACACCCAGTGGAAAAAAGTGAGAAACCCGGGGAGGTCCACATTGAGAGACGGATCTGCTCACACAGACAGAGAGGTGACAGATCCAGGACTCATTCGTCAGAAACTCATGACTTGTACTTAAGATAAACAACTATGAGTCCGTTTTTGATGCTTTGAGCAAAGAGCTGAGTGTGAGGCCAAAATATGTTAGAAGTAATGTTAGAACCAAACTGTTTTGAGAGCTAGTGAGATGCATTTTATTCTATATTTCAATTTTTTTTGGTTTTGAAAGTTGGGTACTCCCACCCTAAGTATAGTGTTAGATAAGGCCTTCCATAAATTAAGACTGTAACCCCTCTATTACCCCTCTTTTTCCAGAACACATAACTTGGCTGTATTCAGTAAATATGTGCCAGATGGGAACATATCACTCTGGCCTTCAATTAGTAATGGTTCTGTTTGTTTCAGTCCGAGATTGACACAGTCGAGTATATGCACATGCTTTGAAGTGGACTAAAATCCAGCGTTTTCTCCAAGTCTTCACTCACAGATAATTAACAGTAATTAAAGTACAACAAAGTGCAGATGAACTGTGGCAGACATGCTGTTGCCTGGGAACCTTCAACCTTTCCCTCACATTTCATTAACATGCTAATTAGCGAGCTCAAGGTGTTCCCAGATCTATCTCCACTTATATGTATATATTTGCATCAGACTATGGGACTTAATAAGGAGCAGCACCTTACAACTCTGTGTGCGCAGCTTTATATGTAGTTGTGTAAGCTGCAACACGAATCTAACGTCATGTCTCACAAGTCATTTGAATATAAAAAAACATATAAAAGTGGTGGTGATCACAGAGACTAAGAATACTGTACTATTGTAGTGAGTATGACGGGTATTTTTGTAAAGTAACTGAAGGTGACTACAGCAGGGGTCTCCAACCTGTAACTCGGGAGCCACCAGTAGCTCGCCACCCCCTTCCAGGTAGCTCGCCATTTAGAAATGAACAAATGAAATAACATACTTGATAGTTCAGATTGTATTATTCATTATCTATATGTATTATTGTGAATGCAGACTTTGTGGGCTAGTAAAAAGTATTTGATGATAAATAATGACTGCACCCAATATCAGGATTCTTCACACAAACATGTCACCAATTTTTTTCCAAGGGCCGCTTAAAAGGGTGAAAAAGGTTGGAGACACCTGCTCTACAGGATAACTCAATCGCGCCTGTCCCCTCTCAAAAAAAGCTCTCCGAGTTTCATCCAATAGGTATTCCTCTATGTATTATGTCATAGAAAAAGTGATTTTTATTTTTATTTTTCATCTTCTCCAAATGCACTCAGGTTGCTTTATTTATAACTTCAGGAGTTTTTCCACAAGTATTCCTGCTGATTTTCGAAAGACATTTGTTATTAAAACTATAAATTATTACCATTATATACAGTATACAGTATATGTTTAAGGGCAAAACCTGTATTTTGTCCTTTAACCCCGCCTTCTGGCCAACATTTTCCTCTTCATAATGAGTCTGTAGATGATCTGGTAGCCATCATCCCAGCCGTACAACTGCTTCTCCTCAGGATTGTACTTCAAACTGCTGTGGGCACCAAACCTCCGTGGGAAATATATCAGCGGCGCCTCTTCGTTCTGCACCACCCCATTCACGTCAAATACACACTGCACCCTGGACCGACTGGGCAGCGGCGTGTTGTAAACCACATAGACCACCCCGCACACCACAAAAGCAGCCTCCGCATTCTCCCTCGGGCAACCTGTGTCCCAGATCTGCTCTATGTCCAGTGTGGAGAGCTCCAGTTTGGCTAGGTTGATGTTGGGTTCATTCTCACTGGAGGAGAAAAGTAGCCACAAACCCTTGTCGTCTGCGGATAAGTCTGCGACAGTCTCTGGATTCAGGGAGTAGACAGGAGACACGCTGGCCAAGGGGAACATGGCCAAGTCGGTTAGAAAGCCACGGGTCAAGTCGAACTTCACCACCTGCGCACAAGAGGTGTGAACTTGTCATGTCATTGTATCGAGTGGAGATAAGTTCAGGTGTAAAAATGCAGACTTCGCTGGAAATATGAATGTTCATATGAAAGTGTCAAGAACCAGTATTCCCTGGCCTTATCTGGGAAGACCCATATCATTGCAGAATGGTATCAGTGGAAGGCTTCTTGCAAGTGTATTCGAAAGTGCAGACATGTATTTCTATGCTCTCATTGCACACTGAGCAACTGTTACTTCTCATTCAGATTATTATTCTGAAAGACAACTCACACGAAGGCTTTGAAACCGGCCGCCTGGGACCACATGTTTGCTCATAGAGAAACGCTTGCTGAGGGCTCAGTCTGAGCTTCTCTCAGCACTTTTAATGATTAGGGGCAAGTCTATAGTGTTAGAAGTGCTGACGTCTGGCTCTCTGTCTTTTCTAACATCACATTATACTGAAGTTAAACATTCTCTCTTGAGAAGGCAGAACTCTGTATAACGCTGTAGCGTGGGAACACCCACATAAAAGGCATACTGGTGGAAAAGTGTCAGATCAGGTTGTTACTGGCTCACATTTGCTGCTTACTGTACCACAGTGTCTCTCTGTGGCACAGAAAAACACTATTTTTCTATGCAGCACCAGGGCCATTTGAGTCATTGACAATAACACATCAAATTAAAATTCCTGGTGTCATTGTATTAAGTTCAAGAAGACTGAACGTGTGGTCACTTAGATTTACATTGCATTTGGGTTTCTTATGTGTTGTACTTTTGTATTGTTGACTTGGCCTGGTTTCTCTTGAGATCCTCAATCTCAATGGGACTTCCTGGTTAAATAAAGGTAAATAATAAAAAGTAGTTGTGCCGCTCTGCACCTTGGACGAGACCCTGATGTGTCAGAAATACAGATGTGCGCTGTCATGGTTTGGATGAATGATTCATGTGAACACAGAAAGTGAGGAAATACTGTTTTGCACACTGGGTCCACATACAATATATTGGATTTGTTATTAGAGTTTTGCTTTAGAAACATTGTTGTAGTCTCATTCTGACCTGCACCTCCTCTGCATGTGTCACATAATACAGATGGTTGTTGTACACAGCACTTCCGGGTCCAGTCCATTCAACGTGGAGTTTGATTGACGAGCTGCTGTCGAGGCCAGAGGAGTTGGAGAAGTCTCGAACTGACTTGAACTGGAACAAAGTGTCTCCTGACGTCCCGTTGAAGATATAGACCTTAAAAATAAACCATGTCCAACAATGAATAAATACAGTGTTCCATTTCCAAAAAAACTGTAAATTCAGAAAAAAGTTTGCTATTAGCCTGATTACCGAATAGAACCAACTAACTAGTGTCCTGTGGAACTACAACGTAAACAGCCAAGTAAAGCATGGATCTCTGGACTGGACTGAAGACCTGTGCGGTTGACCAAAATGGTGTTGTTTATTGAATGCACTGAATGGAAGTACATTTAGATTTAGATAGGTGTGGTCACAATTATTATGCTCATTGTAACCTTTGCATGTCGGACCAAGTAAACTCAATCATGTTTGCCATATTTTCCCTCAATACGACTCAGACCTTGGAGGATTTGGGGTCCGGGGTCCACGTGCCTTTCGGACCGCCTGCTCTCTTCAGTATCTTCACCGACCTGATGCCTGAGATAATATCCTCACAGTCTGCAGGGGAAATGTCAGTTATATTCAGAGATGCACATTATTATTATTCATTCATGCTCCAATACATTAGGTTGAACAATACATGTAATAAAAAATGCTGCTTCCCAAGAAAATACATAGACTGTGGTTTTTCAAATGTGATGCATGTTTACTGAAATGTCACAAGGCAGCCTGGAGCAAGGGGCCCATATCTGCATCTCTACATAACGGCAAAGTAAAACAGTATGCAGCGGAGTCACACAGAATATAATACGACAAGACAACGGGACTACAGGAGGAGGCTTTTAAGGAAACAAAACCAAAACGTAAATAGCAGAGCACTGAAAAAAGGAACAGGTCGACGTTTACAAAGGGTACATGTTTTTAGTCCAGATATGAGTTGTTCTGACTTGTTTAGATTATTTAGATTTCAGGCCAGACTTCATTTTCTCATGCTCGCTTTTAACGTATTCCAAGCAAAACGTCTGCTGTAGGTATTGTATTTGATGAAAGATGAAAAAGTGGGCATTCTTTTAAGAACATGAAACAGTATCTTAAAAAACAACATATTTGGTGAGACAAGGATGAAGGGTTAAAACATTTATCTTATGCTTTAACCCTAAACCCTAACCCTAAAAATGAAACGGTGTGTTGCGTCACTTAAAATAATCCATCCTGAAATAGAAGTAACTTTCAGCCATCCTTTGTAGTTTACAGCAAACAGTCACACAATAATATATCATGAAGACGAAGAGATGCTTTTGTCAAGGAAAGTCCATCAGTGAAAGTTGCCTCCGTGATGGGTCCTTTGTGAGGCGGTGGGGTTGGCTGGAGGTCGGTTCACAGACAGGCAGATATATATCAGTGTGTGGAGAGGGACCGGAGCAAACAGGGCAGCGGAACAGGCCTGACCTGAGGGCGCGCACACAGATTGTAGCGGGATAAAAGAAACGGCTGCAGAAGCTCAGCCATTCATTCATGTTATGTAACTTCTGACGCAGGAACTTATTACTATAATAGCACACCAACAAAGAGTGTAGTTTTTGAATGAGGTAAATAAGATGGGATATTAAAGTTTTTGTTCACTAGTCATTTTGAGAGGACCTCTGTGAATGGGGGAATGTTGTTGCTGTTGCTATCAGGACTAAACATGGGGAGGTACAGTGACTTGCTACACATACATCATAGCTAGCACCCCAGACTTACATTTAACCCGTGCAGTCCTAATTCTATTTGTTTAAAAAAACAGTAGGAATCTTGTAGGAGTATTACCATTGAATTAATAGGTAATTGTCGGATTGGTCAGGATTATAAGCAATGGATGACTTTATCTATTGTACATTTGTGGCGGCATGGGATATGAGAGCATCTACAGAAAACCTATGCAGACACGGGCAGAACAAGCAGAAAGGCCCTGTTTCGACCAGGATTTGAACCCGAGACCTTCTGGCTCGGAAGCGAAAGAGGCAAGGCAAGGCAAGGCAAGTTTATTTGTATAGCACAATTCATACACAAGGCAACTCAAAGTGCTGAACAAAAATAAGAAAACATTAAAATCATAAATAATCACAGAACATTAAAAAGAAAGATAAAAATATACAATCCCTCAGTTGTATGCACAGCTAAACAGAACTGTCTTTAACCTGGTCTTAAACATTGTCAGAGAGGAGGCCTGTCTCACATCTTCAGGAAGATTGTTCCAGATTTTAGCAGCATGAATCTGAAAAGCTGCCTCCCCATGTTTAGTTCTGACTCTGGGCACTAACAGGAGTCCAGTCCCTGTGCTCCTCAGAGTCCGGGCTGGTTCATATGGGACTAACATGTCTAACACTAACATTGGTGCGAGGCCATGGAGAGACTTGTACACAAGCAGAGCTGTTTTAAAGTCTATTCTCTGAGCCACAGGAAGCCAGTGCAGAGACCTGAGACCTGAGCAGGCCATTGCAGTAGTCTAACCTACTGGAGACAAATGCATGGATAAGAATCTCCAAGTCTGCTTTAGACACTATGTTTTTGATCCTGGCAATGTTTTTTAGATGGTAAAAAGCTGCTGATGTTACTGATTTAATGTGGCAGAGCTCACCACTCTGCCACGCATAGCACACATACATATTCAGATTTTACCATTTGCTGCATGCTGAACTGAATGTCAAATTGCATAAAGATCCTCATTGTTATTGTCTTGTCCTCTGCAAAGGGAAAATATATCATCTTTACACTCTAATAGAGGGATATCATGGTGGATGGTACGACGGAAGCGATTTTATTGACACAGTCTGTTTGTCTCTGTAGTGAAATAAGTTACAGTGGCACAGCCCAGACTGAATCCTCATTTCCTCTGGATGTGATGGAGTGGATCTCTCTGCAGCATGTGCCCAGGGATCAGCAGATTATCAAGACAAATGTTGTACTTTACACAACAAACACAAGAATCTTTCAGAGCAAAAGCAAACAGGGATCAAGCAGAAACAGACCTCATAACTATAGGGCTCTCGGGATTATGTGCAAAATAAATGCTAATCATTATTCAGGTCACACCATAATAAGAAGTTATGTGGCAGTTTTAGAAGCCGGGATCTATTGTTTTTGCAGTGTTTGCATATACAGTATTTGTTCTTGTGTCAACCTGAAAGCACAATAAGTAAAATAAAACTTCACAATGATGAAGGGAAAACACAAACAATAGATTCAAAGTTAGAAAAATAATATACGTATTTAAAACTGAAGTATCAAATTTTATGTTGTCTATTCCATCAGAAAGATCCTTGAAAAAGTGTAATGGTCAAATCAAACTGCTACAGCCATTTCTTTCTTTCTTTTACTTCTCTGTCTTCCAACAGACTTCTTTTTTCCACACACTTCTCTGTTTTGGTGATTTCAATGGTTTTGTTAAGTCCTCTGAGATGACTACTGTTGTAATTTAGGGCTATACAAAAATACATTGAATTGAATTTAAAAAATACCCACGTCGCATTTGACTTTCACATACAAGTACACACATGCTCTCAGCACACCAGCTCTCAGCTGATTGGCTGAGTGAGGGTGGTTCTCTATTTTTCACTTTTCTGTTTGAATAATCAATAACAGTGGCCAGAAAATACATACATGTGAAAACTAGCGATTGAACCAAACTGTTTTAGAGCCAGGAACTAGTTATTACATATGTTTTTTGTGGTTTGAACATTAGGTACATCTGCTTTAAACATTGTGGAGAATTGTTTCACACTTTTAAGAAGACTGCTGTAGGTTTTGGCTGCATAAATCTAAAATGCAGGATCCCCATGTTTGCTTCTGTTGGCCCAGCTGCATTATTGATGTACATGTAACACTAAGGACAGATGGGAACAAAGTGTGCATCTTTCTTTTAAAGCTTCTAACAACCTGCCGTCTGTTTCCTATATATGTAGAAGGATTCTGAAGAGAAACAGGATGCTCCGATGTGCCGCCTTATTCCTCCTATACAACCCTCACTGTCTGCATGCTATACACAAGATGAGGTTACCAGATCTCTGGAGAAGTGGATCGGGTACAAGTGGAGCTGTGGATTGGGAAGGAAAGGGAGAGAGAAGTGTAGTTGTAAATCTGTAAATCTTTAACTTTAACAGAGGGTGTTAATGTATTAGTTGTAGTGGTCTGTGGACATTTTATAACACATTTTTTCCCCTTAATGCAAATATAAAACATTCCCCAATGCACTAATTCTAATTGTCGGTCACATTCTCTATTTATGTACATACGTAAAGTGTGGATTAAGGTACAGTCCAGTACCCCTTTTTCGATGGGTGGCCTTAGAATTTAAATAAAATAATGTACATTTGATTTCAGAGTAACTTTGGTTTGCTCCAGAACTCCATAATAGCAGAACATTACTCAGAGTGCCAAAGCACCTGGCACTCTCTCGAGGAATGAGGGTCTTTCTACGCTGCAGTGGTTGGAAATGAATGGGTTAGAGAAAAGAATAAAACTATTTGAAAAATAAAACAATCCAAGAAAAGATTGATGCAACGATTTTTGAACATTATAAAAAGTAAGGAACACAATGTTCATCCCACTCCTTATCAATTAGTAAGAAATCTGGTACAACCTCTGCTTTTGTTCTTGTACATAATGTGGACATTTTCATTTTGTGCTTGAAATAAACTAAAACTAAACTAAGCACCACCAGGGACACCAACATGGAATCAAAACATATGTGTCACTTAAATCTGAAAAAAGTCATAGTAACTATCAGAATGTGTATATTTGAAGTTACGTTTGCATGAAGTTTATTGGTTACTGTATAAGAGGCACTGCTCATACAGTATGGGGAAGAAGAGGGTTGTGACATGAGCTGAAGCTGAATGCAGAGACATGAGGCACTTATTAAAAGCAGCCAGTGAAGGCAGACTGCTGTCTTGTTTTCTTCATCTCAAGTGAGAACATGCTCGGGTCTTGAAGTTAATAGGGGGCAAGTATAAGTACCGTTTTTAGTAATGAGGAAAAAATAATGGTACTGTTCTTCAAGATTCAATTCAAGATTCAAAAATGTATTTGCCATTTGCAGTAAAACCATATTGGAAAAACTGACTGCCCCAGTGTGCATCAACATAGAATATGGTTCACACCAGCCTTGCCACAGAGCCATGCGAAAATCTGACACTTGAACAAAAAAGATTTTTTAATTCTGGTTGAGTCACAATGAACCCCCGTTCAATATGTTGTCTCATTCAAACAATATGAAAGTATTTGTTGCCGTTTCTTTCGTCTGTTAAATTGGTCCTAAATATTACCTGCTCCAGTGGGCAATCCATTGTACTCACCCGACACCAGTGCGGGCACCTCCTCCCAGCCCTCACCCTCTCCCTCCGGTAGTGGCCTCTCCCTCAGGCTCCACTCCCCCCTCTCCAGCACCCTGTCCCGGGGCCGCACACAGGCCCTGGGGGTGGTCCACGTCTCCACATACTCCATCTCCCTCTCCGTTCTATAGACCCGGACCTCCGTGAGGTGGAGTTGCTTGAACAACGCGGTGTAGTCCTTCTTCAGACCCTCCACCCGCTCGGTCGTTAGCTTCTTAAAATCCTGTTGCTCCGAGTTGTATCGCTGATTCTGCCCATGCCACAACTGCATGCGGCCCTGCACACAAAGAACAGCAAGTGTGCACGTCTGGTCATATGTAGTTTTTACTTCTTGAAAATAACTTGTTGGGTCTGGACATCAGGAACGGACTGAAGAGGAGGAATAAACCATGACATGCAGGTTTTTCACTTTAAAGATGGAGTCAGTGATTTTTTCCAGATGCATTTTTTTTTAAATATTGTGGGAAAACGTCCCTAAACCCTAAAAGCAGTCAAGTTGTCATGTGTTTTCAAATAGTAATGGAATTGACCAGATGCCTGTCTCTTAGAATTAATAAAACATATTATTTGAGCGGACCGATAAAAATAAACCAATGGGATGCGTTTACCCTTCACCCTCTTCCTGTTTCTCGCGAGTGCGCACACCTGAGTTATCGGATTTTCTAAAACCTAAAATGGCTGAACAGAAAATGCCAATTTCACATTTGCCACCCACTCTCCCTGTTGCGACAAAAAAAAGATAATGCTGGATGTTTGGTTTTGTGGAGAGGCGAGGGGAGGGGGGCGTGGTTTGGAGTTGGTGCTTCGGCTAAGCTAACAACATCACTTACTGCACCTTTAACTGATTGACAACATTTTGGGGTTTGCCAGGCTGGAGAAATGATCAATTATTTTCCTCACAATTTAGACAATGCTAACAAACAATACATTTCCCTGTTTACTGTTGGTCACAAGCTAGGGACAACTATCACAAATTTGGAAAGAATCTGGTACAAATCAGTGTTTTTTAATGAATTTAACGGGACACGAAACACTGGCCTCAAACTGGACTAGCCCCAGGTGTGGTATTACATTCAAAACCTCCTTCACACCAAACAACTGTTGGAGCAGACAGTGGGATGAAGTGGACTCTAAATGGTTGACTTGAGGATCCTGCAGTCCTTGAAAGAAGCTCCATGCATCACTTTGATTGACAGCTGGAGTACAGGTGAATTACAGGCAGCTAACGGTAATAAGTTCCTCTACTCTCTCCATGGAGCCACAGTCGAATGGAAATACAGGTTGACTGAGTAAATTGGCGATGCAGAGTTGAGCCGCATATTGAATAAAGTCTGTCTGGAGGCAAACCACAGGGGGCAAAGGGAGCTGTAAATAGAGAATTCATTTCATGGGAATTACAGTTTTAGGATTGCTACTTTGAGCTGTTGCAAAAATCTTTAAAGCAAATGAGTTATGTAAATTTGTTTCAAGAAAATGACTAGAGACTGCACTTGTAATTGTCTAGGGCTGTGTGCATGTTGTGTTTTGAAGATGAATTTTGCACAATATGGCCATGCACTGATGCGTATAGATGCGTATAGAGGCAAGGGAATGCAGTTGGATGTCATACAGAAACCCTGCTGATGGAATAAATGTTTGTTGTGTGATGTTAAGAAAGGTTCTGGACAACATAGAAAAATCCATGAAAATAGATGTGCTATTGTTTCATTGTTTTCTGGAAAAAAAAATGTACATACAAATTGTAGTGTGTTGACAAAAGGGTCTTTGAGTTCTTTGACATAGAGTTTGTGGCGGTTCAAATAGTTAATTTACTCAATATTATTAATCTAAGAATCTGCAGATGTGGATATTTAGTTGAGTTGATCAGTCAGTCAACCATGGAACAAGACTACAAAGGAAATAGATCTCGTTAAACTTGAGCAAAGAAAAGCAACAAACTTTTCCACTCAGAATAGAAAACTATATTTCTGACAATACAGGTCATTTTTAACTGTCAAATCAAATGTGTAGACAGTTAGAAATCATAATGTAATTCAAGTCTTTTAAACTCGGCTATAAACATTGCTTTCCTGTCATTGTCACAATATCATTCAACCTTTTTTATCTCCTTTTTATACAACCCTTTTTTATATTCATAGTTTATTATTTACTTTATCATCCACAATTGATGAAATACCGTAGGCACTGAAACTATAATACTGTGCACAATTATAATAATGTGTATCGCTCAGGAAAAAATGTGTTCTTGTTAAATCTCCTGTAAAGGCTGGCACTAGTTTCATATCTTTCGCTTAGAGCTCTTTGTGACTGTGCTGTTTGGAGTTGTTCGCTACAGGCAGAGGTGGAGCTTGTTCACATTACCTTTGTGTCATTTTATTAAACGCTGGTGGAGTGATATTGTTTTTGGACACAAGCAGAACAGAGATCACATAAAATACGTCTTAATCTTTCCCTTTCTGTCGTATGATACTACTGTTTTAGACCCTTTGTGAACTAGAGCAGCGTTTAAAACTTAGATATTTGTCTTGATACGATTTTAATATTTTCTTTAATCCAATCCAAGCTAAGCACTTCCTTCTGTTACTGTTTTTTCAATGATTCGTGAAAGGTTTGGAAATAGGGTTTGTGGTTGGTGCGTAAGATATGTGTTATTAGATGTTTGTTTAAGGCTTTATTCACAAGTGAATGATAATGTTTATACTGTATGTCTACCTTTGATAGTAGTAATAGTAATGCATAGTTTTTATACAGCTCTTTTCAGGACACTCAAAGAAGCTTCACATGTCATTATTCATTTGCTCCACACTGCATCAGCTTCAGAGCATGCAAGTATGGCCACTTTTCAAGGTACTCAAAGCGCTTCACATCAAGGAAACAATCATTCATTCACACATCAGTGTTTGCAGACACTGGGGTCGAGGCTGGTCAAGTGCAGGTGTGAAACCAATCACCTTTCAAACCTGCGGGTCAGTCGATCTGACCACTCAACCAAGGACGTTTATGTCAGGGGGCAGGATTCAAAACTCTTCTACTCAGAGGACACACATTCTGAGCTGAGTTACTGCTGCTCCTAACTTTTGATTGTTTGGTGCTATACTTTCGTCCAGATTACTCATTTCACTCTGGACCAAAGCAGAGAATATTATCAGAACCAATCAGCCTATCAACAGCAGCTACATCCTCTCTGCTGCTGTGACTTAACGTGCTGTTACGCTTTATGTCTATACCCTTGAGAGTTATGTATTATTCATTTGTTTTGTTTGTATGTGTTTCTGCAGCTCGACACCGAAATTCTCCTACGGGGGATTCATAAAGTTTCTGTCTATCTTCAATGTACCAGATTTAGTCTTGTAGTAATGCACTGTTGTTGAGACTGATCTGTGATAAAGTCTTGATTTGAGATACATAAAACACTTTCTTATTGATACACTGTGGAAGAGGACAAAGAATAGACTGGAAACAAATAATCTCAATACATTTCTGATAAAACTTGAGGTACACACCCTTACTGTCGTCTCATCCTCCTGTCCCTTTTTCCTTTCACTTCTACTGTATGACTTCTCCTCACTCACTCTCCTCCCACTTTCCTCTGCCCTCCTTCTTCTCACTGCATGCATCACAGAGGTTTTCCCAGGGGGCGCTGCAGAGTTGACGGGCCGGTTACAGATTGTATTAATGAGAATGTGATGCTTGCTCTTTAATCATGTAAGGTCACACAGTCCTTTTCAACAGCCAAAGTTTTAATTACACCAGTCAGACATAAACTGTTGGCCTATATGGAAATCGAGACAGGACAGTGGGTTAGGGTGAGTGATCTGATTTCACGAGAACATGGAGCAATTAAAAAAGACGACAAATGAGTCTAGACCTCCTACCTACTGCAGAAGCACCTTTTTATTGACGTCTTTCTATGACTGAAACCTTGGATCCTGCTATGGCCATTACATCATTTATTTTTGCATGCAAGTGACAACCAAGTGATGCCTTTTGAGTAATTAAACATGTATAATAGATTAGATAGGTACAGAACTGGTTCAATCTAAACAGAAATTTGTTTGGAAAAAACTACCAAAAACAAATAATACAATCAAAAAGTAATTGCATTTAAATTGTTCAAAATACCTTCAGCCAGAAAAAAATGTAAATACTGTACACAAGATGCCAGAGAGCTATAATCAGATTTTTCACAAAGAAAACACTGGATATTTTGAAATAGTATTAAAAGGAAAGACAAGAAAGGCTTTGTGTTTACACCATCAACTACAGATAAAAGTTGAGATGAATTCATATTTGTGAACTATTCTAAAACTTAAAACGTCCAGAGCAGCATAAAAAAACAGCAATGTCCTTGGTATTCATAACATAATGCAGAATTTTTGACCGTTTGTGTTCATTTCTATCAAGTTTGCATTCACAGGAAAAGGTCTTATCTTGTATTCACACAGTATTAGGAGTGATTTTAGTCCTATAAACACTGTGAGCTGTTTTGCATTATGCTTCACACAGACGGAGCGTGTCTTACCTCCATGGCCGACAGCCTGTTGTCCAGGTAATCCATAAGGCCTTGGTAGTAGTCTTGAGCTGCAGCAAGCATCCACACTGCAGACAGGAACATCAAAATCCTATTCTTCATTGTAAAAAGTTTCTCCCGGTCTGTTATGAAAGCTTGCAAAGTTTTTCTCCCTGTGGTTTCCCCCTCTGCAGCTGCTATCCTCATCTGCAAATCTCACACAACCAAGAGCATTGTATCTGAGGGGAAGGCTGCAGGAGAGAAGAGGTGAGATGCACACAGAGGAGGAGGCTCGATGGCCTCACTTTGCTGGAATGTTTTGACAAACTTTTGGGGAGGAGCATATAGCTGCTGTTTGAGGAGAAAAAAACGATAGCGTACAGTTGTTTTTATTGTGATATGAAAAAGACAAAGTTATCGAAGCAATTGTGCGTAGATGTAAGTTGCTCAGTCCATAAAATTGCTATAAGAAACAGCGGTTACCGTAAAAACATCAGGTTGTACTTGGGATAATTTGCATCTGTTGTCTCACAGTCTGACTCACAAGCACTCATTCACCATGAACTATAGTAAAATCAAGTATTTTACAAATCTCACTTGAGACTGATTTTTAATGTTTTTTTATATATATCCATATACACATTTGTTCTACCCTGCTTATTATTTCTCTTCCAACATTTGCTGTTTCACCCTATAGCTTTTATTCTACAGGTCTACAGCGTTCTAAATATTGTTTATATTGTTAAATTAGTGAAAAACAATACCAGTATATGTTTGTGCTGCAGAGTGCTCAAACATGAAACACTTTATTGTGCAGTCCAACAATGTAAATGTCAACAAGTCTTATCGCTGAACCTTGAGGAACTCCCTAGACATTAAAGAGAATAGACTGTGTATAGTTTTGTAGAGACTAGTGAAACAGAGCAAAATAATGATTGCACTTGTGGGGTTAAACCAGCCCTAAACACTCCGGCAGCATTGTAAAGTACACTCGTAAACTTCCACAAACCAATTTAAAAGTTGAGCTGGCGGCAATGGCTTTGTTTTCAGTTCACTAAATAAAACGTTGACTTTCGCAGCTCCTCTGGTCTGTGGCTGATGGGGCTTAATGCAGAGGCCAGAGAGGTCTGTGTGCACGCGGACGGCTGGAATCAATCAATAACAATGCATATGGTTGAGGGAATGAAAAAAAACAGGGATAAACCAGGTCTAACTGAAACGGACCAAACCGAGGCTTACAGGAATAAACCAGGATTAATGTTGGAGTAAGAGATATTGAGCGAAATAGTTTAATTATCTTGAAATGAAAAGTCAACTTACAGAGACAAGATGTTAGCTGTGACTTCTAAAAGTGTTGTAGAAGTTTAAATGAGGGGTATAATGCAAATTGTTTGCTTTCTTATGCTATTATGTTATTCCTAAATTTCAGTCTCTTTCTAGCATATGTTGGTTAAGAGAAATGTTATGGTCTCTCCCATGGTCCAAAATACAAGCCCCCTCCTCTTGGCTCCTCCCAGTCCTCTCAACAGGTGCTGCTAGTCTCTGCTGCACTTGGAAAAGACTTGACTTAAAAAAAACAACAGCAAAAGACAAAACAAAACCTGCAAAGTGCAAATATTTCATAGGAACTAACAACTGGTGACATTGTGAACAATAAAGCAGCATCTGTGTAGTGTAATGTGGTGTGTTCAGTCTGTTGAATTACCCTCACATGCGTTTTTGACACCAGGAGCCCAGTCCTGATCTAAGCCAGGGTCTATTTATACCCCTGGCACACACAGACGAGGTGAGGGTCGTCATGGTAACTAAGTGCCACCCAGCCGCCGTGTTTTCAATGGAAATGTGCTCCTACCTGTTTGATCTGTTGTCTCCCAATCACCCATCATCACCAACACAGGCCTTTGTTTATTTCCTTTCATAGTGTCATAAACATGCACGTGATAATGTAAGTTCCAGCTGTTAGGTTATATTACAGCTAATAGACAGATGTGTTCAAGAATATCTTCTGTGTGTAAAATTGTGGCAAAGGGAAAACACTTAACACAAAGACACTGCAACACAAAATCAGGATGATTAATTACACACTGATTGATTTCCTCAGATCTATTTTCAGTAAAATTATCTACAAGTGATTGAATACTGAAATAAGGACACATTAATAACTACTTCATTCAAAATAAAACTTGAAATAATGGTAGAAAATATATTGCATATATTGATTGCATACCCAACCACCTGTTGAAGCAGCGTCTGTGTTTGTTTCTCTCAATTATCCACAAGAGGGCAGCAGTGGTCTGGATAAAAGAGGCTCCACTCCAGGTTGGCATCATGTGTCTACTTGTTGAGTAGCACGGCAGGAGGTTTTATCATGTGACAAAAATCTAAATATATGTAATAACCCCTGTATTCCCCCTTTCCAAATTCCAAACGTGGAATGAAATATAGGCTTTTATATTTGTACATGTGTTAAAGATGCACTGTTGGTGGCACATCACCTGCTTGTCTTGATAAAACATATCATTTTTGACATTTTTGTGTTCAGAGGATCAAAAGTTTATGTTGATATTTCCTTTGACCCAATTGTACTCCAGAAAGAGCTTCATAAGCAATAATATTGTATAGATTAACAGGCAACAACAGGAAGAATGATGGTGGGGTTTTTTTTTATGAGGGAACAATATTTTAACCTAAAATGAAAACCCTCAAAAATGACCTTTTTTTAATAATTCATTATCACGACCCAATGACCAGCTATTTGCAATTATTAACTGCTTTTGTTGAGTTTAATTTCTGTGTCTTTGAAACTAATTATCTCATTCAAATGAATCATAACGGCTTTGTTAAAAGTATTATTATTTAAACTGCAGAGTGTTTCATTGTTAAGGTCAAAGAGTACAAAGCACATCATAGTTTTACCTCCATCAGGGGGTTGGGTCTATGCCAGGGCTGCTTTGGGTTTTTAAAGTTTTTTCACAAAACCTGAAATATGGGATTAATTTCATTTCAGAATGAATCCAGGATTAAAGGAATGCAACTGTGTATGTTGTTGGTGGAGGTCTGCACTCTGTGTGTGCTTTTCTATGTTCTCATGTTTAGTGTATTTTTTACAAATCGTTCACTCTGTCTCGAGAGAGAGGTAAAGACTTTAACACCTTTTTTAAATTGTCTTTTTTGAAGACTCCTTTAGTGAGTCATGAAAAAATAAAAAATATTTTTTTCTGAGTCAATTTAAAAAAAATACTTTTTAAAATTATTATTATGGCTCCTGTTATCTCTCCTGTTGGAGACTCATGTCCATGTACGAGACTACTTTTGTTCTATACCCAGATATAACGACAAAATACATTTATATGCGTCAAATACAGTATCGTCTAAAAAAAAGCTATACCCAATTTTTTTTCTAATTAGTTCATAAAAATGCTTATCACTACTTGCAAGTTGTATTATAATGCATAATTTAATTGAAAACTTTTGTATGAATTCAGGCCGTGAAAAGTGCTGAGTAGAGACTTAGCGGGACTCTCGCTTTATATACTGAACCTAAATCCATAATCAGATTCTCTTCAAATGTGTCCTAAAATGTTTGTTTCATGTTAATGGTTACGTCCGGGTTTATCACGATCGCTTTTTGTCACATTAAAATAGTATTTTTATCATGAAAACGTTAACAAATAATTCTGAAAACCTCCGTGCATATGTGTTAAGGATGTATATGTATACTGTATTCTCCGATTAACATTTAAAAGTGTTGATTGATTGATTGGTATTTGTTTATTGAGCGTGGCTAACTCTGCTAGCTCCGCTAGCTTCTCTGCACAGACAGAAGTAGTGACAGGCTGAAAAGTCGTTGTACTTGCGGAGTAAATGTTAGTATTTTACACACCTGAATTACAAACAGAGATTGCATTGCCAAAGGGCAGCGGCCATTATTGGTTTGAGAGTTTTATCATCAAGAAAAAATGATTGTTAGAACGTTTTGAAAGTACGTTCAAATCAGTGGAGTGTTCTACTGCTGCTGTGAGGAACTTGTTTTTCATGTAAGATTATTTTCAGAAATCTTGTTAACTCATACTTCCTTGTTCATATCAGATATTTTTTCATATTTTAACTAGTGATTTACTTTTCTCCTTTTTTCATATTTTCATATATTTTTTTCTGATTATTTTCACCAGGACCAGCGCACAGAAGAGAACGACAGAAAGACCATGTGCTGAAACTGCTCCAGGTGAGACCATGAAGCTGAACCAGGGACTGTCCAGGAAAGACCAGGAGCTGGAATATCAAGCCCAAGTCACACAGTCTTTGGAATCAAAGCTGAAGATACAAGAAGGACTGATCGGCGAGAAGGACAGTGAGCTGAAAACAGTCAAAGTGACTCTGCAGAAGAAGGAGAAAGAACTAGAGGAGCACATTAAGGCTCTGAAGGAGATACGGCTCCTGTACAACACTGCTGTGATGGACAAAGTCACGCTCAAGCAGGAACTCTCCAACTCCAAAAGACTCTCCAGAACAACTGCTCTGGATGTCCCCAAACAAAACCAGCTGTCCCAGACTGAGAAGCAGCTCTACTCTGAGCTCCAGTCCATCCAGAGGGAGGTGAACTGTCTCAACTCCAAGAATAAGGATTTGGAGTTTTCAGTCAAACAACATGAGGACCAACGGTCACAGCAGAAAAGACTCTCCATCACAGACAAGAACAAGTGGGCGTCCAGGCGTCACTACTAAACTCCTCCCACTGTCACCCCCTAACCCTGCATTCAAAAATAAACAAACATTATTTGCACAAAAGTTTTTCTTGTTTTCATGCATTTCTCACATTTACTATGCTCATATGTATCACATGAATGAGTGGAAAAAACAAATATCATGGAAGTGAAAGTCTGTACCACTAAATGTAGAAGAAGTTTAAAAACACATTAGTGTGATTTTCCATAACTGGCACAGGGTTTTACGTTGTGCTCACTTCCTATTGTTAGATCACTCGGAAGTGGTCACAGTCATATTCAGTTCAGAATCTAATTCGTGCCAATATAAAATGATGGCATTCATGTAAAATTACACACAATTTATAAACACGAAAGGGATAAACAGGTAATGTAATCACCAGGGTCTGTCTGTCAGTTTGTGAGATAGAAAAACTCTATTGGAAAAGAAACAAATTATGTGATTTTGGAGATTATCCAGCTTTTTTAAGGATGTGTGCTTTTGTAGAAATAGAATAGTGCGGACACACGTCCTTCACTTAAAAACTCTTCAACACATTTGAAGCCATTCATTGGAACATTCCAGTTAGTCAGGATTTTTCCTAAAACATATCCCATTACGCAGGTACTCACCTGTTTGTCAAAGCCTGATCTCTTCGAAGCGCAGATGCTAAGAGGATTCGGGCCTGGTTAATATATGGATGGGAGACCACAGTGCCTCCATCCAATCCAATATGGCAGTGAGGGTTAGTGGTCGATGAACCCGAGATCATTATGAGCAAAGGTTAATTTTACAAGATATTGTATGTATTTATTTATGGTTTTTATACATGTGTGCATACAATATTGGTCACAAATTTCCCTCAATAAAACAATCTCTGCTTATGTCCTGTCCTCTCTCTGCTTGTCTGCCTTGCATCTTCTTATTAGTTTTGATGCCATTTCCCCTCTTCTCTGCTGCACCCCAGGCGTCAGGAGCCACCCATAAAACTGTCCCGCACCCAAACGCATAACACGGCCCCCTTTACAAGCCTTTGGTATTGATTGAGAGGGTCTCGACATGCTCACAGTCTGGTGCCAGCTCATATAAATGTGCAGAGCGAAACGGGCCGAGCGGGCGACGTAAATCCTTAAGCCTCTTGTAAATGGCTTAAATACAGCCGAGGCGCCGAGTCCCCTGACCTGCCTTCGCCCCTCTGTTTTGGGGGCGTTCTGGCTGAGTGAGCAGAGTGGAGCCGCCTGTCACTCCAGGTAACAGTCAGGGCCTTATTAGCAACGCAACTTTCACGAGGATCTCCAGCCTGTGCCAGAACAACACGTTAAAGATTGTTTTTAATTCTAGTATTTTGTTTTTCTTATATTAGTGATGTCATTAAACACACACGTTTGATAGAGCACACATTAGTTAGAGTGAATACAGCCAACTAGAAAAAGCACTCGATGAGCACCAAGGGCGAAAGATTATTCCAAAATATTAACTGGCATTTTTCTACCCTCACATCTCACATTCATCCATGCACTAATTTTAGTTACAAATTACACTTAAGACTTAGCTGTGTGGACGATCAAAACAGCAGAATATAATAAACAAAACATCACATATTGTCTGTGTGTGGTGAAGTTCCAAACAAAATACTGTTCAAATGTTAAACAAGTCTCCGTAACTTCTTCTTCTTCTGATTTACGTGAGAACTTTCCTCCAAGCGGCTTTTGATCCTCATTTATACAATGTGAGGCACGGACACTCAATGAAAAGACATTTTTCCATTAGGCTACATTACCAACTGCAGATTCCATCTAATATGGGAATGAATTTGACATTGATTTTTTGAAAGGCACTAAGGACTCTCTGATTTATAAAACAAAAACCCTGGGTAAAAAAATCACACTCTATTCTGAATAAAATGTTATGTTTTTATTTTAAAATATACAGTACATGTTCTTTATATATTAGTGCTATTGATGTTCACAGGTTTCAAATTCTAAATCGCTTGTTGTGTTGTCTGATCCTTCGGGGGCCCTCTGAAGTGCCCCAACAGGACATGAGATCAAAGTTGGCAAATCTTGGACATTTGGCAGTTTGGTGAGACTTTATAGGAGAATCCAGCACCTATATCTAGAATTGAGAAATGGTCGAGGTATGAAAGGTGGATCTGAATGAGGTATGCATAAAGTACACAGCCGGGCATGTCGCACACAGGTGGCTTCGGGAGATCAGGAACGCCATTCATCCTTTACAAACTTCACTCAAACTATAAAATCTCAAATATGATGTGAATTAATGAAATCTGTCCCTCATGCGTCCATGTCTCACTGCTCTCTGTGTTTGCGTCTGTGGACATCTGGTCAGAGCGGGAAAGGTTTTGACAAAGCTGTATTTATGTGTGGAGGTGAGTGAGGACAGTTTGTGAGAGAATATTCGGGAAATGATGGTAGAGTTGACGATTCCTCACTTTCTCACACATTCCGTACATCTTAATTATTTTGTTTAGAAGCGCTTTTCACTTCTTTCAGGCACGAGAGCAAAGCTTGAAAAGTCACAGTAATTTAATTCAGTAGCATGAATACGGTTTTGTTTTTGAAAAGAAGCCTCTCAAACAGAGAAATGATAGCTCAGAATCACAATCAGAATCAGAATGCTTTGCATTGACATCGTAACAGGTAACTCGAAGTCACAAGATAGGAATTTGCTTTTGCATATATGATACAAGTTGTATAAAAAAGGAAAACATAGATATAAAGATGGACATAGAAAAATAAATCCAATCTATCAAAAGACATTTAACAGGGAGCATAGGTATGAGACTATTACGTGACAAAATGATAAAGTCTGAAGTGCAACATTTATCTATTTATTTTTGATGAAAACATGAATACCTTTTGTTCAAATAATATTTGTTTTGTTTATTGCAGGGTTAGGAGGTCACAGTGGGAAGAGTTTCAGTTGTGACGCCTGGATGTCGTGTGGCAAAGAGAAAAGAACCTAAAATGCAGAACTGCAAAAATAATGGAATTAATAAAATGAAAAAACAAAACAGTGGCTCAGTTGGTAGAGCATTGGCCTTTGGGCCTGAAGGTCGTGGGTTCGAGCCCACCACAAGACCTACTTCACGACTCCCACTGAAGTCTGCTGTGATTGTGTCCTTGGGCAAGACACTTAACCCCACTTTGCCTGAAGCCCCAGCTGAAAGATCTCAGCTCCTGTGGACTCACCACCTGCAGGAGGATCAGTGAGGGGCTGGTGCTCTGTGAACTGGGTGCAGCTCTGACTGAAATGGATTAAGGGGAAGAAAATGGATGGACGGATGGAAATACAAAACAAAATCCAGAGAAAAGTCCATAAAACCGCACCAAACAGAAACTGAAGACAAGAACTAAAAACAGAATGACAATGACGGAACAGTGAGTGAAGGAACACACAGGGTTTAAAAACGAGATAAGAGTAACAAGACACAAGTGAAAGTAACACATGGCAATCAGGAAGTACAAGACCTAAACCATGACTATACGCACAAGTCACTTGCTTCCTCTTCTTGGGCGGCACAGTGGCTGAGTGGATAGCACTGAGTGGAGTTTGCATGTTCTCCCCGTAGGTTTCCTCCGGGTACTCCGGTTTCCCCTACCACTAAAAACATGTACAATAGGTCTGGCATGCGCCTCCTGTACTGGCGACCCTGCTCCCATCTCTGTTTGGAGTGAGAGACTAATGCCCAAAAATAATAAAATTGGGTGACCTTGGTCTGTAAAAATGTGCTATACACATACATATGACTTACTTACTTACCTACAATACTTTCCATTTTGACATCTTGACAAGCCGTGTCTCAAGAGTGAAGCTTCTAGTATTTTGTTTAGATTATATTTTGATTGCTCCACATGTATGATAAGCTTCCCAAAGTCCATATTCCCTGCAGGGTCTTGGATGTACCGCAGGGGGACCTTAGACTGATGTTCATTTATTTTTACTGACTTTTATTTTAACACGTTGCTGTCTTTCCCATTATGAAAAGCCAACACGGGTCTAAAACACTCACCAATCTTTCTCACTCTTGTCCCTGGTCGACAATACGCACATATATAACACGAGCACATATCGGACATGAGAATAAATAATTGTTAATTTTATGATACAGAAAAGATGGATACACTTAGAACCATTCCACACAACATCCTTACATTTCTGTTATATAGATAAAGTCTACTTATACTTTCTTACTTAAGAGAAGATGGTGTGACCCTAAAAAAGAAGTTACATGCGGTCACTGTCAGTACATATTTGATTTTTTCAGAGGCGGGCTCTGAGGCTGCATGCCATTACCACACAAAGCAATCATTACTCGAATATCTCCTTTATCCTCAACCAACACTACAAGTCGCCTCACGCTCCTCACGCACATCGTTACATTTCTGCCACACGCTGCTCTCTGCCTGACTCACTGCAGAGAAATGCCTCATCCAAACCTAAATGCATTCTTTTGAAATAACCTTTTGAATATTAAACCTGTAGTTATGACATATCTACTTGAAGATATGTGCCTCTATGTCCCACTCATTTTACATTTATTTGTTTTTGTGACCTTGACTATTTCACTGGTTTGAAGGTATTTATGACAGTTACAGAGCCTTGAAATAATAATAGAAATAAGAAATATTTTACTCAAGTGGAAGTTTGACACCGCCAAAAAAGTAACCTGTCAGACGCAGCCAGAACTTATTTTCGATACAATTATTATTCTCTATTGTTTGTACTTTTGTGTGGGCTATTTTCTGGCTTCATAATCTTCTCTTGTGTGCAGAATGTAGAAACAACAGATTATAAATGTAAAATGTGTTTTATTGTCTAGGGGGGCACTTATTCTACATACGGTTTAAATGAGAAATGTTTTGCTTTTCTTTTTTGACTCCCTCAGCTGCCACACCGCCATGTGACTGTAGAAACATACGTTCACCTGAGAAAATACAAATTTATGAGAAATATGTATTTTAAGAGGCAGAAATCTGCTCTAAGTATGATGTCATAAC